AGTATCACCATTAGCAAAACACTGGCCATTGGAGCGTAGATGCATCCACCATTACATATCTATGTATAAACAGAGTTAAGATGACAGTATACCAAGTTTCTGTGATTATGTGGGCACATTTCAGCATGGAATTTGAGTTATATGTTTTCTAAATATACAAGCACTATACAGCCCACTGAACTTCCTACCTTTATTATATTTCATTCTGATTCAGCAACATATTTAAGCAAATGCCTGTCTTAGAGCACACTAGTAGTGCCATTGACTAGAATGTGTCTATTCCTCTGCTTGGACAGTTGCTACTACCACACTGCACCCCAGGAAAAATACAATTAACTTTTCAAACTAAGATTAGCCTAGCCAGGAAACTGCTTGTCACTTCTAGCACTAAAATAAGGATTTTAAATACATATTTTTTGCTTCTTGAGTAATGAAAGATATTGCCAAATACATAAAAGAGCAATGAGTATTCAACTTACAGGACTGATAGTCTCAACTGTTCTTTAAATCAAACAATAAAGGCAATATCTAAACAAATGATGAGAAAAACAAAAACCAGATTTAAAAGCCAAATCATTTTTGATAAATTCAGCATGACATCTATAAAATACTGGCTTTGTCTACTGTGCAAGTTGTGTAACTTACCTCCTTGATCTTCAATGTGTTCCAAGTGATCATATGTTATTAACAGGGAATAAAGACAGTATCACATGGGACAACATCAGAAAAGGGGTATCTGGAGTTAATTTCCCCTCCCTGATGCAAATAGTGTCTTTGGAATTAAGAGCTAGTATCTGCAGGAGTTAGTTATACAAGCAAATATTAATTAAACTGAGTAAAGGCAATAAAATCTTGTTTTATAGGATAGTAATTCCAACTCTGAAAAGTTCACAAAACTTTCTCAGTAATGTAGAGATTCAAGAAAGACGTTAGATTTATAAAAACTTGGAGACTCATGCTTAGAATGGGTTCCTTCATACTAGGTCAATCAATCAAGCAGAAAAGTGTGGTAAGGGTATTAGAAATGAATACATTTTAATAACTACATAGGACATAGCATAGATAATATTCTAGCTCTGTAGCAGTGTTTCTATCACATCCTTCACTCTTAATCCATTTTTTCACTAGCACTATATTTGCTAAATTGCAAACAAGTAGTTCAGTGAGCACTGAAACTCATAATGAGCACTGGATCCTACACCCTTGAGCCTCAGGGCCACTATCTGGTGTTGCAAAAGGTCCCCACTGTGACAGAGACCTTGCAGTGAGGGAACCTGACAGTTGCTCCGTCTCCCATCCCAGCATTCACATGCTCTCCTTCTTTTTCATAAAGCTGGTAGAGACTCTGCCTTTCTTGTACAGCTCTGTACAGACAGAACTGGCCAATGAATTATTGGGTAGAGAGGACACCAAAGGCAGACACGTAGGCACACACACATTGTGATAGCTTCATTTCCATAGTAGTCAGCCTACAATTTTTATCTTTTTCCTCCTGCTTTTGTCCGCTTTTAATGAGCTACTTCTAATGATACAATAGACAATATAGCTGAATTCTTCTCTATTGCACAGGGCAAAACATGACTCATATCACTGACATCAAAGCAAATGAGAATTTGGGCCAGCCAAAAATGTAAAGAGAGGCCCTGCACTTAAAAAGAAATAAGTAACAGGCCAAAGAGGTTAGGAACCTCCTTTACTGGTGACCATTAGGCAAACAGGTATCAGGAAGTGACAGGGACCTGAAAAACCTCCTGAGATCTGTTTTGTGTGCTCACTTGTATATGAACTCATTTTTGCTTTTTTTCCTCCTCTTTTGCTTCAGGTACTCATGATGGCTCCATAGACAGTTGTAAAGGTGATTCGGGAGGACCCTTGGTCTGTTTTGATGCAGAAAATGTGGCGTATCTCTGGGGTATTGTGAGTTGGGGCGAGAACTGCGGGGAGCCTGGTCACCCTGGCGTGTATACAAAAATCGCCAGCTATTATGATTGGATTAGCCATCATGTGACAAGGAGTCTCATTTCACGGTATAATATCTGAAGCTCAGAAAATTATATACTTCCTTCTTATCACTCATGCAAAAACGGTCACTAGTCCTTTTTTACAATCAGTAGCCATTAACTTAGCAATGATTAGTATAAATCTTTAAAGAATATATTTTGAAAATTCTTAACACTCTATATGAATACCACAATTTTGCAAAAGCCTGTAGGAAAAGAGCCTGCAGCAAAAGTCTCTAGTAAAAGCAAGGAAATTAAAATATATTTTTCTTGTTGTTACTTGGGGTTTTTTTTCCACATTTCACATTGCATTTCAGTTGTGGTTGGCTGTTTATTTAAAATGGACAACCACTGGAAAGCAGTGGTTGGAAAATGACTGCACTGGCAGTATGTGAACTTCACAGAAGGGACAGCAACCAGAGTACTTCAAAGAACTTCCATAGTCTCAAGGTCTAGGTCACTAGAAACCCTCACGATGCTGCCTTACTTGGCAGTTGATTCTCTAGGCTTATTGCAAAAGTAGACTTCAGCCCACCTATTAATTGACCAACTGACTATGATTGTGAGATTTGTTCTAATGCAACAATTACCCAAATAGTAACTCTGATGGTAGTTTTTTCAGCTACAAACTCATACCATTTTTATCTAGCTAATATACCTCATCTGATCATCTTGCTTCAGGAAGTTTTTGTAGCTCTACATTTTATTAATTTAACCACAGCTGGTCACAAGCAACAAAGGAATTTTAAAAGTTGAATCTTCAACTTAAATAAAAGGCATCTTTACTATCTTCTCTGTGTATGTGTATATATATGTATATATATATATATATATATATATATTACTGGTATCCAACAAATTCTTAACATCAAGTAGGGTCTTGTCGCATGTATATATATGTATCTTTATATATATACACAATGTATATAACAATATAAATATATTAAAAGTCTATATATTAAACATATAGACTTAATTCTACAATAGCAAGTTACAGATCTAAAGTTAAAAATTAATACTTTCAGTCAGAATCCCCCATCACCAGATTCTCAAATCAGCAAAAACTTCCTGCACCAGCATGCAGAAGTGTTAAACAGTGATGTCAAGAAAGAACATCCAGGGCCTGATCCTGCAATGTGCAGTCGGGGAGTTTTGCTACTGTCTTAATTGACCCAGAACTGGGTGAAGACAAGGGGCTCTCAACAAAACTGGAACGATTAAGTGGAAAATCCTGCTTTCACCATTTTTTGTGAGGAAGTCATGATAACCAGGAAGCACAGCCCAAAGGACCACTGTGTAAGCTACACATTTTTAGACTGCAGGAATGGTGCCTGCTTCTTACAAGAAAATGTCAGTCTATATGTAATAGTCTCGTATTTGGCAAGAGCTATGTACAGAAAGTGTGCACAATAGTTTTTAAAAAAGAACTAGAGTTTGGTTTGTGGATTGGTATCCTCGACACAAAATTGTCAAATTGCTTCAGGACCATCTTGGTGAACTCAGACAATCTCAGTCTGCTACAGACAACATTTTTACATTTTCACTGAATTTTCTTTGTCTTCCAGTCTTGTAAAAAACCCACATCAGCATGAATTTGTCATGTAAAGTCACTGTCAATCACCAATAACTAAAGTAAGGGTATGAATTGCTTCTCTTAACCCCTCCCCAACAAGGCTTGCTATTTAGGAAATCATTTAAGTATATTACTACACAGGAATTATTTTGCTGAATCAGGGTCTTTGTCATCACAGAGAAAAGCTGGACAGGTGTAGGAAGAGCTCCCTCTTTTGTTTGACTTAATTAGTTCTGTAAAGAACTTTTTTCCACCTATTTCTTCAGTTAACTACAAATATTAAATGCTGAGACTGAAGAAAAAAAAACCACAGTAGAATATTTACCATGCTCTGCAAGTTGATCTGGAAGTCTGTCCGTTTTCTTTCCATTTCCTGTTCTTTACAGTTAACTGTCCTGAACATAATACTATGTTCTGAGGGATTCCACATGCCTTAACTCAAAGCTTTTCTTACAAAAATCAAAAGAATTTTCACATGCTTCCACTTTAGCTCATCTGTAAAGCATCTACAATTTAAATATAAATTTCATTTTAAACTTGTAATTAAAAAAAAAACCCACAAAACCAAACAGGAAGCAAAGAAGTTCAGTTTGGTCTGGGTATTCTTTTTAGCAAATCAACTGGGCTTTTAATGTTTAATAGATATATTTTCATTTTGCCCTCTTTTACAACCCTGTCTTGCACATTTGATGATGTTACCTGAAACTGCATCACTCAAGTGCCTAAAGGTCATCGGATCAATTTCCTTCACACTGAACATCATAAAATTAGGTTAAAACTTTAACACTTCAAGTACATAATCCCACCTGCATTTTTGTGGCTTCTAAACGAGCGTGCTTTCCAAAAGGTCATGTTTTTCTCGCTGTGTTAATACAAGTTCTGCCCCAGACTGCACGGAAGGAGAGCAGCGTGTGGTTTCGGACACACTGCTCCCACAGGCCGTGTTTGCTCTGAGCCACCACACTAACCAAGCCCCGACGTGGCGGGCACTGAACCTGCCCTCCCCTCCGTCCGTTCAGCCCCACGGCCGCAGTATCTCCATGGCTGACTGAAACATCAGCCTGTCTTTCCTCCAAAGTGCTATTGCTGTCTCCTTCACATTTAGCACCGCCACGTTCATCGCTTTTAAGAGAGTCATCAAATAAAGGTTTTCCAAATAGAAAAAGTCCTGGGGTTTCGTATTATCTGATGGCCGCGGTACCTCCCCGGGGTGCCAGACAAACCGGCAGCCGGCTGCTCTCCCGGTCTGTACCTGGAGAGGTTTGGAACTGGTCCCCCGGTGGAGCAAGGGGGCACCGCGACCTGCTGGAGATGGCGGCGTTCCTCCCGTTGAAAGAGCCCGTGTTGTGAGGGGGCAGTGCCAGCTGGGCC